CCAAAAAAAAAAAAAAAGGAACAAAATTACATAAGCAAAATCAGTATAATTATTCTGAAAATAAAATCTCATTGATTTATATAGCTCCCCTGATTTTAAATACTCTCATTACTGAGTATTTGTGACCCATGGGATATTAAATTCTCCCACATCAAATTATCAGATGACTTCTAAGCATAAGGAATGTAGAAGTCACTATTAACCTTCAAAATAATAACTCCTACATATCCAAAATGTGGTAAATACCCAGTAAGTACTTAGTGAATATGGAATTGGACTAGCAACATTATAAAGACTATATTCACATGAACAAGTACCCTTCATTCCCAATCCCTCCTGTCACTCATCAGTACTTACCATGTGCCAGCATCCTGCCAGCACTGTGCAACATATTATCTCATTTAATCATTTCAACAATCCAAGAGGTAGGTGTTAGTGTTGTCATATTTTTTAACAACTAGACACTGTTTTATTATTACTACCATATTTTTAACAGATAAGAAATTATATTGTTTAAGCACCATATTTCCTTAATTGTAAGATACATTTTCAATCAATATGTACCAATTGTATCAACTCATATAGAGTTGTGTCCACCCCCTAAAAGCTGTCATTAAGTTGCCAATGTTTCTAATCAATGGATTCTTAGACTGGAGCAAATATAGAACTTGAAAATAGGGGGTAACAGCACATATGAGTCCCCAACCATCTGTCTCAAAAGCCTGTGTTCTTTATAACTCTGCTTTCCTGTCTAGGCCTTCTATCCATTAACATCTTTAAAAAATTCTTGTTTTCCTTATTTTTTTGATAATGTCCTCACTTATTTTCAGTTGTAATTACACCTGCCAACTCATACCCCAAACTGAACCTTGGAAGCAATCTTATCTGAATCGAAGGAGAGAGACTGTCTTGTTTCCCTCCAGGAATAGGGTAATGCCACTCATATGCCCATAGGGCTGGGCTGCTGGAGATGGTCTCTGGGACCCTCTGCTCTAGCAGCCTGGACCCTAAGGCCCCCAGGCCATGCTGAGCAGGGTCCTCAGCCATCCTCAGTCAGTCTCCAGTAATGGTCAGAGCTGAGAATTCTCCATGCACCAGCAAAGCAGAGTACCAGAAAATACTTTTGAAGATGCTTCATGTTTAATATTTTTAAGCATGGAAATAAGAACCATGATCTAGGGTTTGACTGGATCCTTTAGATTTATGTTGAGGAAAAGTGTTTGTCCATTGTGAGTTATATCTGATGCAGGTGGTCTTCATAAATGGGTTGTCACAAGCCCTGTTCAGCCCTTACCTGCACCTGTTACAGACCAGAGGAATAAAAACAGCTCTCTCTTACATGGGCTTTTCATCTCAAAGGTAAATAAAGGATAAAACATAGGACAGATCACAGAAATATTTACTATGTTAATGTATTTAGTTCTCCAAACCAATCTACAGGACAATACTTACTCTCATGTTGTAAATGAGGAAGCTAAGGATCAGAGAATCACCTGCTGCACATCCTACCTGGGTCACCAACCATCCCAAACCTTCTCACCAGGATAGGGTGGACCAGTCAAAAGCATAAGAGAAGCAAAAGTCCTAATAACCAGAATGTTCTCAAATGATACCACAATAGCTAATGTTGAAAATAATAATCTGAAGGCACCAAACAATCCCAGTTGCTCCTGAAGTAAAATTAAACTTATCCAATGCTTTTCATTTAAAATCCAGTGTATTTTATTTGAGTAATCATCTATAGCATAAAATTATAATCAGCTATAGCAAAAAAATTATAATATTATAGAGTAACTCTCAGGTAAAAAAAAAATCCCATTTTTTTTGGGTCAAACAGGAATTTATTACTTTTAATTTTCTGTTTCCTAAGGAATAAAGCTATATCACAGAATTAATTCCACAATCCCAAACTAAATACACAGGAGCTAAGGCTAGACCAAAGCCTAGGTAAGGCCTGACCACGCACTCCGCTTGAGATACCTCATTAAGAAAGCAGTCCATGTAAAAGAGTTGGTTAATATAATGTCTGGCATACACACAAAAAGTGCTCACCAAATGGCACTTTGAAATAATAAAATTTAAAATGCAATTAAATGATTTTTAAGAAAAATAATTTAACTGTAGAAATTATTCAGACAGGAGTAAGTGAAGATTTTACAAGAGAAAAAGATAAGGATGGACACAGGCGTCCGACACTTGGAAAGTCGAGAGCCACCCACATGACAAAGACCCTCTGGCTCCTGAAGCCACAGACTGCCCGACTCTGGGACGAGCCCACCCCAGTGCTGATGAGCCCCAGTGTTTAGCCTGATCCCCAAACAAGATGACTGCTTTCATATATCTTGGAGTATCTCCAAAGACCTCTTTCAGAAGGAATTGTAATTATTTTTATTAATTTTCTTTGTACTATTTTTGTTGACATAAGACCTTGTTTGTTCTACAGGCTCAGATAGGTAGGTATTATTCTAGAAAAAAAGTAGCAGCTAAATGGCAGATTGCAATAGCCCTCCATCCTTACAAATAAGCTCAGAACTCAAGTAGTCAGTGTCTTTGGTGAGAAAGTGTGAAGCTCTCAGGAGTCCTGGGTGGGGGGGGCACATCAGATGCCAGAGGAGTGTCTTCCTTCCTAAGAAATCCTTTCCTTCCCTGTGCATTTCATCCATCTCCTTTCAAGGATTCTAGAAGCCAGCAAATCTTTGGAAAGAGCTATTGAACTAGTGAACTTCAATTACTGGTACCCAAAGTTCAAATATATATAGAGATCTATATGAGCAAAAAAATTACCTTTATTCTCTCTCCCGGAGACACAACAGCAGCAAAATATTATAATCAGAACAATAATCAGGATGAAAAGCAATGAAAAGGATACTGCAAGGAGAATAATGGCCCAGGTAGGCAAGGATGTACCTGGTTTATCAATACTGCCTATAAGGTTGAAAGGAGAAAAAAAAATATTTAGTGATGCTTGCCACTGTCTGGGGCACATAATCACTGATCCTGCCACACTATAAATTAGACATGTTTTCCAATAATATTGTAGCTATCCAGCCTGCTCTGGCTAGGCTTCCCTTCTGTGTGCTTAAATATTCAGGCCTACAGTATCTTGCATTACAATTCTTATTGCAGCAGATAAATCCCCACTTAGTTACACAGTCCAAGTATTCCGCGGTTAATGCCCCTACTGTTCCTGAGAGATAGATAAGGCCATTCTGGGCAAGGAATTTAGTCGACAAATACTTCTTGGGCAGTGACTGCTGGGTGACACTGAAGACTGACATTTCATTCTCACGTCCATGACCCCGCCACCAATGAAAGTCCAGAGCCCAAAGGAAATCAGGGCAAAATGAAACAGAGTCACTTTAGGGAGCTTCATGCAGCCCTTCACTCCAGGGCCGCCCTGGCCCTGCCCACAGAGGTCAGTCCACAGCTAGTAATTGCTTTTTCCACGGCTCTTGGGAAACAAGCCTCTTCAGGGCCCACCTTGCCCTCTTGTTCTGTGCAGTGGCCATGGGGTGAGAGAAAAGAATAAAGGGAGGAAGTACAGGCAGGGAAGGAGCAGGCAGGAAGAAGGGGAGGGAAGAGAAGAATAACCCGTTTTTATTTTTTTACAGCCATGTCTTGACCAGAGCCGTCCAACACAGTTCATGCAGTTATCTAAATTCACATTTAAATTAATTAAAATTACATACAATTAAATACTCAGTGCTTCAGTCAGACTGGCCATATTTCAAGTGTTCAACTGCCACGGATGTAGAACGTTGCCTTCCTCACAGAAAGTCCTGCTGGACAGCGCTGTCCGGCCACAGGCTCAGGGGACCTGCACTGACTTTCCAGAGACGGCCCGCGGCCGGCACTCACTTCCCCCAACTGAACCATGCTGAAGTGCTTACTTAGGGTTTTCCTTGAAAAATGACCTTGAAATCACAGTCTGCTATTCCTGCGTCAAAGTTAAATGCTCAGAATAGGTTGTGGGAATGGTTAGAGACGATCGCTAAGACTCTGGGGTCTACAATCATCCATCGCCTGGACGCTGACTCGTGGGGCTTCATGTCAGTGGAACCATGAAATCTCACCGCCGCTGTTTACCTGTGTACCCTTTGGCCTCTGGCTCATCAGTACGGATGCTGCCCCAGCAGACGGCCCAGCCTCTCGGGAGATGCCTACTGAAGTGCTGAGAAGGCTGCCCAGTCTGCCTTGTGAGCTCGAGATGGCTGGGGTGGCTCTAATTCAGTCTGATGGACTTTTCACAAATTGACGTTTGCAAATATTAGAAGCTTTCATAAAAAGGGAGCCAGCTGGGGTTACATTAAGGTCTGACTCAAGATTCAAGAGATAGGCTTGAAATTCATACTGGAAAAAGTCAACAAGTACATTCACTTGCTCAAACAGACCCTATCAGGAGCATCTCCTGCTGCTACCAGCAGGCCAAGCTTTTGTCAACAGAGTGTTGGCATGACAACCTCTCCTCTGATCAGCGGAGAAACAGCTGCCCATCCCCAGGCAGGGCCTGTTTAAAGGAAGGGAGGGGCCACCTCGCTAGGTTAGCAACCAAAACAAGAGAGAAAGCAAGTGATATTATGATCTTGCTCTCTCATCCCTAAATTCAACCACCAAGTTCATCAAACTGAAGCCTGCACTCACCAAAAGCCCCAAACTTACAGTAACGCAGCACCGCACCAGGGACCACATGGGTCATTCTTTGTCACTATGGCCACACTCCCCTGGGGGTGCATCTCCCACAGAGCTGCACACCTAGGAAGGTTTTACACTCCACCTCTACTCCAGTGCAGCCCAAAGGAAAATGTGGCGTGTATGGAGAGGCATAATTTGGTACTGGAGCTGCATAGAAGAACGTTCTTATTTTAATAAGAATGTTTATCATTTATGATGTACATATGTATACAACATACGTATACACACATGCATATATACCATGGATATTTTTGCTTAGCATGAAGCAAATTTTTTAATGAGTACACTTAACAGTGGATTGAAAGAAAAATAATTAATAGTCCTATATTGATATATCAAAAAATAGTAACAGTGAACAGAAAGCATGGAATCCTGGAATGAGATCATCCATAATCTAACCCCTTCATTATGCAGATAAGACACCTGGGACAAAGGGCGTCCATAAGCCAGACAAGGGTGCTCAGGACAGGGAAACCCCAGGCACGCAGACTCATGTCTGCCCACTCTGCTGCTCCAATCTAGAATAATCCTGCTGAGGATGATACAGCCCAGGTCTCATGGGAAACAGAGAGTCTAGGGGGACGTGCTCCCTGTCGTGCACCTTCATGGGGTGTGGGCGTGGTGGCTCAAGGTGAAGGGCAGCACGGCTGGAGAGGTAAGTGTCTAGGAAACTCTGCCTCAGGCCCCACACAGTGACTAAGGAAGGTCATCTCTAAGTTCACCACCGGCCTCCTCTCTACGTTCCTTCACACCACTGTGTGCACATTAGGGCTGCCTTACTGACTTCACTGTGTAACTTCCATCTCAGCTTCAAGACTGCTCTTTTTCCATCTGTGAAGGAAAGGAAAATCATTTTTCCCCCAGGCTTTCTCAGGAATGCTCAGTTTTCTAAGGGCACAGAGAAGTTCTCAAAAGCAGCTGGACTGATACAAAATGTCACCACCAGTGGTGCCAGCTAGAAGGGACCCAGGACTTCTCTGAACCAATGAAATAAATGATAATCATTCACTCTCCTGTCCTGTTTAAGTCTTACATGCTGAAGTGCTTTAGGCCTTTCAGATGCTTACTTCTCACACTAACAGCAATAATAGCACTTAAGTGTTATTATTATCTCAGTTTTACAAATAGGAAAACTGAGGCACAGAGAGGTTAAGTCACTGGCCCAAAGTCACACAGCAAGTAAGTAGGCAAGCTGGGATCTGATCCCAGTCCATCTGGTGTCCAGATCTGTGTGGATAGTAGTTGGGTCAGGGGGTAGGGCTTTTGAGATTTTTCCAGTTCAGCAGTCCCCAGTCCTCACTGCCCAGCAGAGTCACTTGGGAACTTTCTTTTAAAATACCAGTTCCCAGGCTCCACACAAATCAATTAAACCATCGGCTCTGGGTCAGGGTCTGAGAATCAGCATATGTGTTAAAACTTCCTGGAGACTGGCAGGCAGCCAGGAGAGAGACCATCTGCCTGTTCTTCTCCCCCTCATTTCACAAGCAAGAAAACTGAGCCCCAAAGTCACACAGCTAGTGCCAGCTCTATGATCCAGGACTGTCACTGCCACCACTCTTGTCTGCCTGCAAAATTGTCACTTCTCACAAAACTAAGACTATAACCAGGAATCGCTACATTCTGCAAGGTACTCAGATGCCCTACAAACATTGCAAGGTATCACAGTTCACAGCCTAGTGACCAGCATGCAGACACAATGCAGACAGGCACGCAGAGGGTTGGTGGTGCTTTTCTCCAGGCGGGCATGAGAGGGGCTGTCAGCTTCCAGCTGTATGTCTTCCCTAATGTATGTCTGCAAGGCCTGAAGTTTGCATTATTTCCAGAATCAAGAAAATCGATTCTTTAAAAAATATTAGCATTAGCCCTTTCAAAAGGCTTTTCTTTCAAGAATCAGTCAGTGCTTTATCCAACTTTTCGGCTTGAAATAATGAGGCTTCCTAAATTGCCATAGTCATCCATCTTTCTGGGATTATTCCAGAAATGAACACAGGTTCCTTGCACTGTTATGCAATGGGTGGCAGGACTGGTGTTTATCTGGTTCCTGAAGGAGCCTGCATAGGCTGAGCTTCGTTCGCCCTGGGCTCTCCGCAAACCTGGCTGTGCTCCTGGAAGCCACCTAGCCACCAGCGCCACCAGCCCGAGGCTAACATGAGGTCTTCAGCTACTAAAACTTGCATAAAACACACACAACACTCAGCCAGCCACCAGCTGCTCTGGATCTTGATGAATAATTGAGAAACAAATTACCCTTTTCCAAATGAGTCCCATAAAGTAAGACTCATTGCAACACACCCACTGAGCTTTCCTCTTTGAGGCTGTAGGAACTCCAGCTGCCATAATTAAGGCCGCTCACTTCACTAGCCCTACTCTAAGAAGCATTCAGCTGAATTAAACCTGATCAAGGGAAATTAAGTGCCCCTTGCCCTTCTCCTACAAAAGAAAAACTTTGCAGGCAAGTGAATCTCTCTAATCCATTTCTACGGGCACCATCAATCAGACCAGAGCTCCTTGCTGCATCATTACCTTGTTAAGATGTGTGGTTCCCACAGTCAATTTCATTCCATTTGGTGCTAATGGAACTTTTTTCCATCCTCCCTCTGAAAGCTTGGACGATACTTTATCATCTTTAAATAGCTTAAAAGCAAGTTGGGTTGGCGCCTTGGAGAAATGGCTGATTCTGGGCCAGAACAGGAGAAACACAAAGGGTTTTGGAACATTGTATTGGGCCAAATGCCCAAAAATTAATAGGATATGTCAAAAGGACACCAGAGCCAGCTGGAAGGGACTCCCCATTGGCCAAATCGGGAGCAATCTGAGCATCAAAATGAATAATGATGGGAGCAAAGTATAATGTACTGAATAATAATGAGTCCATTCTAAATTGTTATTTTAAAAAAGGGAGAAAAGGAGAGGAAGTCTCTTCTTTACAGTAATGCCAACTAATAAATATAGAAAAATGACTGAACCAGTGACAGAAAAAATATGATAGGAAAAAAATCATTCTTTTACAACCACTATAGAAGTAATTGATTCAGGCAATTATTTATTGATGAGTTCAAAAGTTATTAGGGAAAAGATGCTCAAGAAACAAGATGTTCACATGGTATCCATAGATAACAAACTATTATTTACAAAGGCAAAAAGGTACCTTTACTATGGAGAAATCCAGGGACCGCCCTTTAACCAATGACCACTTGCCACCAAAAGTAGAGAAATTGGCATCACGTGCCCAC